GAATCATTTACCCTTAACCCTGAACAGTATTTCAGTGCATATCTACTAAGAACAAAGGCATTCTAAGAATTCCATTATTTCCAGGTATGGGGAGTGTAATCCCAGCACTGGGGCTGACACAGGAGGATCACCACAAGTTCAAGGCCAGCCTGAACTACATAGGAAGATGTACCTCAGGAAAGCAAAACAGAAATAAAGGACGGGCAAAGGATTTGAATAGGCATTTTTCCCAATACAACTGGCCAACGAGTACATAACAAGATCCTCCAATTCCTTAATCATTGGTCTGGGGATGCTGTTTAGCGGTACAGTGCCTGCCTGGCAAGTGTGAGGCCCTGATTTGATTCCCAGTACCAAAAAAAAAAAAAAAAACATTAATTATTACAGAAATACAAAGCAAAACCACAATGAGATACCACTTCACTCCTACCAAGAAGGCCACAATTTTTTTTTTCGTATAGAAAATAGGTATTAGTGAGAATTTAGATCCTTCTTATACTGAAAAATTGGAATCATGCATTGCTGGTGGGGATGTTAAACGGTATGGTTTCTACAAGAAACTTTGTCAGTTCCTCGAAAAGTTAATAAGATTGCCAACAAGCTTACTCCTAGGTGTCTACCCACAAGTGGCCAAGCAGTTTTTGTACAGGACTGTTCATAGGTGCTAAAGAGTGGAAACAGCCCTGCTGTCCATCTACCACTGAATGGTTAAAGCATTGTGGTCCATACATACAAAGGCATATTTTCAGCCATAAAAAAGATGTACTGAAGTCAGTCATAGTAGCACATGCCTGGAATCCCAGCACCCTGCAAGGCTGAGGTGGGAGAATCTTAACTTTAGGAACTTAGCAAGGCCCTGTCTCGATGTGCTTGATTCCACAGCACATATACTAAGACCCTGTCTCAAAACAAAAAATAAAATACTAGGAAGAGGGTGTAGCTCAGTTGTAGAGCATGTAATTAACATGTGCAGGGCCCTGGGTTCAATCCAAGCACCGAGACGTATATCACAACTTGGATGAACCCTAAAAACATTATGCTAAGTAGAAGAAGTCAAACACAGCCAGCCATGGTAGCACACACCTGTAAACCCCAACACTTCAGGAGGCTGAGGCAGAAGGATCACAAGCTCAAGCCCAGCATGGGCAACTTATCAAGATGCTATCTCAAAACAAAAAGAAAGCACTGAAAATGTAGCTCAATGTGAAGGCCTGGGGTTCAATCTCCAGTATCAAAAAAAAAAGTCAGACACCTGGATTTCCATGAAATCTCCACAATAGGCAAGTCCACAGAACGCAGATGGTAAGAGGAGGGGGATGAAAAAGCAAGTGCCCAAAGAGGACTAGACTTCATTTTGGGGTGGTGAAAGTGGCTCAGAGCTCACAGAGGCAGTGGCAGCACAACATTGTGGATGTACTAAATGCCACCTGCTGGATTATTCACTTTAAACCCACTCACTTCATTTTACAAGAATTTCACTTCAATTCAAACAAACAAACCAAAGTCAAACCAAAAAGTTATCTGTGGATCAACCAGGCACAGTGGCACACACCTGTAATTGTAGCACTTAGGAAGCTGAGGCAGGAGGATCACCTCCAAGACCAGCCTGGACTATATAGTAAGACCCTGTCTCAAACAAAAACAAAAACAACAGATTATTTGAGGGTGTGTTTTCCCTAACGTGTGTGTGTGTGTCATTGTGCTAAGGACATGAGGATAGATAAAACATTGCTCTTCCATTGAGCAGTGTGACCAGCCCAAATGACTTTGTGTGTGTGTGTGTGTGTGTGTGTGTGTGAGCAATACTGGGAATTAAACCTAGGACCTTCATACTAAGCTACATCCCCAACCCTTTTTGGGTATTTTTGTTTGGTTGGTTGGTTAGTTTTGGGAGATTAGGGGGTTGGTTTTTGGTTTTTTGAGACAGAGTCTATGTTATACTGACTTTCACTATGTTGCATAGGCTGGCCTCCAACTTACAGCAATCATCCTGCCTCAGCCTCCCAAGTGTTAGGAGTACAGGCATGTGCCACCATGCCCAGGTAGACATGCCTGTTCTGGACAGCTAATAGAAATGGAATCATATGATATGTGGCTTTTTGTGACTGACCCCTTTCACTTAGCCAAATGTTGAAACCCATTTCTGCTATTTAATTTTTGCATAACCTTGGGCAAGTTATGTAATTACAACATCTGGAAAATGGAAATAATATTACTATCAACCCTTAAAGATGAGTATGAATACCAAGTAAGACAAGTAATTCTTCAATGAATAGTAATTATTTTAAAATTAATTGAGATCTACTTAGCCAATTTCTTTGCTGGATCCTTTCGTTCAGTTGTTCACCAAATACTTATCATTTTTTATGGAGCAGGAATTACTTTATTTAATTTTTAAAATTTGGATTGAACAGGACCTTGCACCCAAGCAGGCATCATCATCATTATTATTACTTTATATTACTTTACATATATAATATATATATATTTTGGTACTGGAAATCAAACTCTAGACCTTGTGCTTGTGAGGCAGAAGGCGGAACCACTGAGCTAAATCGCTGGCCTGAACAGGCATTATTTTAAATACTGTGTCTAGGGCTGTAGATTTAGCTCAGTTGTGCTACACCTGCCCTGTAAGCACAAGGTCCTGAGTTTGATCTCTGCTACTGCCATAAGAAAAAAAATACTGAGTCTAGAGCAGAAAACTAAGCATACAAAATCTCCCTGCTCTCACCAGGTATAGTGGTGCACACCTGTAATCCCAGCATGCAGGAGAGTGAGGCAGGAGGATCACCATGAGTTTGGGGCCAGCTGGGGCCATTTAAAGAGACCCTGCTTCAAACAAATCCAAAAACAAACAAAAAAGCCAAAACACTCCCTGCTCTCATGGAGCTTATGATCTACTGCCAGAAGACAAGAAATAAAATAAATAAGTAAAGAGCAGTATATGTTCACTAGATGCTGATAATTTGGTGAGGGGGATGTTGGGGATGGAAGTCAGGACCTCTACATACTAAACAAGTATCCTGCTACTAAGCTGCACTCCCACTTTGCTCATCCTTATGGAAAACAAATCAGCAATCTTTGAGTTCAAGCCCAGCCTGGACTACACAGCAAGACCTTGTCTCAAAAAACAACAACAACAACAAAAAACCCACAACATTTTAGTAAAACATTTAAGTAAAGACCTTAAGGCAAAGCATGATGGCACACATGGTAATCCCAGCACTCAGGAGGCTGAGGCAAGATGATCACCATAAGTTTGAGGCAAGCCTGGGCTACGTAGTGAGTTCAAGCCCAGCCTGAACTACACAGTAAGATCTTGTCTCAAAAGAGAGAGAGAGAGAGAGAGAAGAAAGAATAAAAGAATGCTGATTTGGAAATTAAACATTTTTTTCAAGTGCGCCATAATTTAGAATATTTAAGAGGAAACATATGTTTAAAGAAACCAAATAATAAAAATGATTTCCTTTTTTATTGGACCATCATTTTTTGCTACATACATCAAATTATATCTAGCTAAGAATGGGAACATTGGGCCAGGGATTTAGCTCAGTGGTTCCACCACCTGCTTCGCAAGCACAAGGTCCTGAGTTTGATCCCTGGTACCAAAAAGAAAAAAAAAAAAAAAAAGAATGGAAACATTGGATAATCTTAGAACTCTTAGAACTGGACATAGCTTGATCTCCATAGTGACCCGAAAGAAGCAAAGAAGGCAGGACATACACATATTTCCCCAATCTCATGCAAGATATCTATATGTTAGTTTTTATCAGATGCAATAGAAAATGAAAAGGATGTTGTAAAAGCAATTGCACCCTGATATTTCCTCTTTTTTCTGTTTTTTGGTGTCAGAATTTGAACTCAGGACCTTATGTTTGTGAGGGAGGTACAGTGCCACTGAGCTAATTTCCTGGCCCATTTTTTTTTTCTTTCTTTTTTACTCTGATATTTCCAAGCAGAGCCACCAAAACAAGTTGTAGCTTAGAAGGGGGATTTAGCATGTCAGAAAGTCAAGGAAAGGCTTGAATGTCATATAATCCATCTTGGGGCCTTTAATGGATGAGAAGTCAGCCTCTTCCTTAGGACTTCCACAGCATGTAAATTTTTAGGGAAGTCTCTCAATGAAGCTTCAGCCTGTCATTTATTGTTTCATTAGAAAGTGTTTCTCAGTGACACTATGGTAAAGCAGGGTAACAGAGATCGCAGGGCCAGGTGAGCAGAGTTCAGATGCCCCGTCTGCCATCGGCCACCTGGGTACCTACCTGGGTGTTTATCCCGCTCTGTGCCTCAGCTGCCTTAGCTGGCAAATGGGGACCCTAACATTCCCTACCCGGTAAGCATGTTGAGAGGAATTAGATGAGCTCGTTCACATGAAACATTTGGAAAAGTACATAATCGTGTCTGCTGTTGAGGTTAAATCGTTAGGTACATAGGTTTAGAGAAGGAGCTAAGGATAAGATAAATATTAGTAATCCCACACTCAGGAGACTGAGGCTGAAGCAGCGCTGAGTTTGAGGACAATCTGGGTTGCATGGAAAGTTCAAGCCCAGCCTGGACTACAGAGCAAGACCTTGACTCAAAAAATTAACTAACTAAATGGCTGGTTAAAATCAGTTTTAGATATCAAAAGTTAATTGATATAATTTCCTAAGATGTGGTATTAAACAGATAGTCTCAAAAAATAAAAGAGAGGGTGGCTGGGGATGTAGCTCAATGGTAGACTACCTCTGGATTGAATCCTCAGAACCACAAAAATAAGTAAATAAATATTAGCTAGTCATACATGTGTATATTAAAGAATATATTAGGTATTATTGCTATATAATCTCCACCCCCTCTCTGTCAGGGTCTCATTTATGTGGCTCAGGCTGGCTTACAACTCATGGAGATTCTCCTGCCTCATCCTCCATGTGCTAGGATTACAGTCACGTGCTACCCACTCTCAGCTCACAAAATTAAAGTTAGAAGTAAACACTAATGAACATCTCTTAGCTCACGGTCTCTGTGGCCCAGGAACATGGGAGCAGGTTAGCTGGTGTGCAGAGGTGTCCCTAGGAGCGGCAGACATTTGTGGGCTTGACCGAGGCTGGAGATCTGTTACCAGGTTGTTCATTCACATGACTTGAGAGAGGAGGACTAAGTCCTTGGTCCTAGACTCCGTGCCTCACAGCCCGCACCTCCCCATGGGGCTGCCGCAGCGCCCACTTGAACAGCCAATGATCCACGTGGGCAAGAACCTGGAAGAAACTGCACTGCCTTTTGTGACCTATGCCAAGAAGTCACAATCGCTTCTGCCACATTCTATCCATCAGCAGCACAGGCCCCTTGGAGGGAACTGAGCGCCACCTCCGAAGAGTGCTGGTCGATTTCACAGCCACCTCAAGGGGTCATTCCTCCTGCTCTGAGCTTGCAGATTCCAAGCCGAGATTTTCTGTTGAACTTCAAAGGAAAGAACAGGGAATGTAGATAATGGGGCGGGGGTAGTAACCAATAGTAACAAATGTGTCCTAAATAAATTTGCCTAGGGCTGTATTAAGGTGGATTTAGTTGTGTGTGTGTGTGTGTGTGTGTGTTCGTGTGTGCGCACGCACTCAGGGCCTACGCGCTCAGGGCCTACGCACTGAGCTACATCCCCCGTTTTTTTAGTTTTTCTTTGAAACAGAGTCTCACTAAGTTGCTAAATTGTCTGAGCTGGGCTGAAACGTTTGATCTTCCTGCCTCATCCTCCCAGACTGCTGTGATTATACAAGTGCCCCACCATCCCAGTTCATTTTACCTATTTATTATTATTATTTTTGTACTGAGGATTGAACTCAGGACCTTGCTCTTGCAAAGCAGGCTTAGTGCCACTGAGCTAAATCCCGGCCGATTTTAATTTATTTTTTGAGACTCTGTCTCCACGCTGGCCTTAAACTCACTGTGCAATCCAGGCTGGCTTTGAACTCATGGAGATTCCCCTGCCTCGGTGTCCTGAGTGCTGGGATTACAGTATGTGCCGTGTTTTATAGTAACCCAATGCATGGCCATGCCACATTAAAAAATATTGATTTATTGATGCTTTCTTCTTAACAGTGCTGGGGATCTAACCCCGGATGATCTGCATGCTAAGCAGATGCTCTACCAGCAAGCTACATCCCTCCCTGTTAACACCATTTATTAAACTACCATCTCTCAGCCCTGAGCCCGCCCATGTATTCCTAGTTTTATAATGCAAGGTTAGAGCCGGGGGTTCCCTACTTGCTCTGCCAGCAGGAGGCACTAGAGGGAGATTGGAGCCCGGAAGAAAGCTGAAGGCATCTCCTACAGGTTCCGGTTGGGCCACTGGCTCTCAACACGGGCCTGGCCAGGGCACAAGAGCTGCTTCCAGCCTCCCCCTGTATGCACAGCAGCACCATGAGCACCTGGCAACTTGCTGACTCTTAGATCCAGGTCCCAGCTTCCTCCTCTGAGCTACTGAGGTCTAACAACTGACATTCTTGGTTTTGTTCCCCCACCCTAGAGATGTGCACAAACTCCTTTTGTTCCTGGGTTCCCTCAGTGTCTGCTTTGCTTAGTACCACAATATCTGTACATATTAATTTATTTTGGTAAAGTAATCGGTCCAAGTTGGGGGTGGCACATGCCTATAATCCCAGCATTCAGGAGGATGCTGAGGCAGGAGGAGCTCTGGGAATTTGGGGCCAGCCTGGGCTACAGAGTTAGATGCCGATTCAAAAACAAACCAACAGTAATTCACCTAACATCAATAAGAAGTAAATAATTGCTCTGTCTCTTGTAGACCAATGGACACCTAACTCTACCAGGAGTAGGCAACTGGGCTGGCCCCAGCCTGGGCAATCATTAGAATGCTGGTGGAGGGTCCTTGTGCCCAGCTTCATGTGACTGCAAACACCTTTAAAGGGAGGTGCTGGGTCATAGGCTGTTATGGTTTCTGTCTACACATCCCCCAAAGCCTCATGTGGTCATAGCCTATTTTGGAGGTGGCTGAATCTAGAGTGTGTGATTGACTCATGGTGGGACTAGGCCCAAGGGCACTAGGATTAAGGGTGTGAGTGCTACTTGCCCTGAGTAGTCTGAATAAGATAAAGGGGGTAGGATGAAGCTCTTAAAATTGCTTTTTTTCCATACTGGGAATCAAACTCAGGGTTTTGCGTTCCTAGTATTTCACACTGATTCTCAGAACCTTTTAAATTTAGAAAAAAAGTCACTCCTGTGAATTAATTGGTAGTCCAAAATCTTTATGTTGCAATACTAAAGAAAACTGAACCACAGGCTAGGGATTTAGCTCAGCAGTTCTACCTGTCTCGCAAGGGCAAGGTCCTGAGTTGGATCCCTAGTAGCAAAAGGTAGGGGTGGGGGTAAAAGAAAACTGAACCAAGTTGCCTGAGGACAGACTCTTCCTTTATACAGCACTAAGGTTGTGGGCAGGGCATTTTACATGCTAGACCAACATCCTACCACTGAACTACCTCCAGCCCACCTGGCCTGTGTGTGTGCGTGTGCGTGTGTGTGTGTGTTACTGGGAATCAAAGCCAAGGGTGCTTTACTACTGAACTACATCACCAGCATTTTTTTGGCGGGGGTACTGGGGATCCAACTCTGGCCCTTGCTTGCAAGGCAGGTGGTGAAACCACTGAGCTAAATCCCCAGCCCTCACCAGCCTTTTTTAATAACAGGGTCTTGCTAAATTGCCCAAGCCGGACTCTAATTTGAAATCTTGCCTCAGTCTCCTGAATCACTAGGATTACAGATGTGCATCACCATCTCTGGTTCAGATTTTGCATTCTTAATTCCTCCATCAGTTCTTGGTAAATAGCAGGTACTGTTGAATCAATATGAAGAAAAAAGGTGGGCACAGGGCATGCATCTGCAAACCTAGCTACTCAGAACACTGTGGCAGAGGATCATAAGGTTGAGGCCAGCCTGGAAACCTTGATGACTTAGTAAGTTCCCCCTCAAAAATAAAAAATAAAGCCTGGCATGATGGTGCACCCCTATAATCCCAGCACTCAATAGGCTGAGGCAGGAGGATTACCATGAATTCAAGATCAGCATGGGATACATAGTGAGTTTTAGACCAGCCCGAACTACATAGCAAGACCCTGTCTCAAAAAAACAAAATAAATAATGAATGCAGGCAGGCATGATGGCATACCCCTGTGGTCCGGCTCCCAAGAGACTAAGGCAGGAGAATTGCTCCAAGTTCAAGGACAGTGTGGGCCACATAGTGAGCTCAAGGCCAGTCTGAACTAGTCTGTCTCAAAATGAAAGAAAAGGGTCTGGGGATGTAACTCAGTGCAAAGGCCTGAGTTCAATCCCTGGTACCATAAATAAATAAGCAAATAATAAATAAGTAAAATATATACTTCCTTGGGCTGAGGATTTAGCTCAATGGTACCGTGCTGGACTCACAAGTGCAAGGTCCTGAGTTTGATCCCTGGAACCAAAAAACCCCCCAAACCAACCAACCAAACAAACAAACATCCCAAAACAACAACAAAAACTACTTTCTAAAACAGTGCTACCGATTGCACAAATTGACTTTTATAGACTACAGTATTGGTAGGTATGTCTTTCTTGATTTTGCAAGTAATACAACATTCCTAAAGTTCCACTGAGACTAGTTGAAGCAGTGTATAAAAGAGACTAAGAGATGAGGGGGCAGAGGAAGAGGGAGGCAAGGGGGTGTAAAAGATGTTTTATGTCCCTGTACCAACTCATGATGAATCAAATAATTATGTACTATAAACATGCACAAATAAATGTTCAATTTTTTTCTTTTGGTTTTTTTGAGAGTCTTGCTATGTTAGCCAAGGTTGGCCTCAAACTTGTAGCAATCCTCCTGCCTCAGCCTCCTGAGTGCTGGGATCACAGGTGTGCACCACCATACCTAGCTAAAAAATTTTAAATATGTAAAATGAGAAAGTCTTCATCAAAAAATATAAGGAAACAGACATTCAACTAGAATTTCAGATAAATTTAATTTTGAACTTTCAGATATGTATAGCATATTCTGTGATTCATCTCAGGCAGTGATTGGTCCTAGGCTTGTTGCAAGTAGAGGTCTCTTCTCATGCACTATTTGTCACCAGAGCAGAAGCAAATATGTTCTGATACCATCATGCAGAATGATACAGTATTTTCTATTTTTGACTTCAGACATTTCTTCAGTTCTCATTCTTTCCCTTTCCTTTCCACTTCTGGCCTAATGCAAAATGCATTAACACCTAGAGAATCTAGTTGGGTATTGCCTCAGCTGTCTATTGCTGTATAACACAACAACCCAAACTCATTACTCAAGACAACAGTGGTTTATTATTTCTCACAGTTTTCTGACCTCTCTGGGAAGTTCTGATTGAAGGGCTCACTCACACTGCCACATCCATCTGGTGGGTCCACGTGGCTGGAAAGGCAAAATGGCCATGTTTATACATCTGGGGCCATGACAAGACTGACCAGAAGGCTAGGCCCTCTCTCTCCATGTGGTCTTTCTTCATTAAGTAGCCTACCTGAGCTTCCAAGACAGCAACTCCCATGAGAGCAGACACACGAGCTGTGTGAACTCAGGGTCACTTTGTATTAGCCTCTTTCCCATCACTGGGATGGAATACCCAACACCCACAACGTAAAGAGAAGAGGTTTATTTAGCTCACAGTTACCAATGGGTATGGTCCAAAGTTAGCTGGTACCAAGGTGGAAACAGCATAGCAGAAGGGGCAGCCAGGGGTAAAAATACACACTTCCAGGTCCCATCTCCAGTGACCACCTCCAACCAGGCTTCTAATAGCACAATGAGCTATGAACTCATCAATGGATGGATCCACGGATGAATACAGCACCCCATGATCCAATCACCTTCCACACATGAGATACTTTTTTGGTACCAGGGATCGAACTTGAGTCCTTGCGCATGTGAGGCAGGCGGAACCACTGAGCTAAATCCCTGGCACGCGCACACACACACACACACACACACACACAAGATTTTGTGGGAGATTTTAGATCTAAACCATAACATTCTATCCCTGACCCTCAAAAGAATCATGTCCATCTCATTATGCAAAATCCATTTAACTTATCTCTAAAAGTTGCCAAAGTCATAATGGTTCTAGCATTGTTTAAAAGTCAAAGTCTCAGGCTGGGAATTTTTTTTTTCTTTCTTTCTTTCTTTCTTTCTTTCTTTTTTTTTTTTAAAGAAAAACCCATAAGCAAATTAGGAAGAGAAA